AAAAAAACCCCTAAAAAACCCAATTGTGACCACAAATTGATCATAAAGGACGGTTCTAACCCGAGAAATTAACGAAAAAATGTTGAAGGGCGTTAGGCGGACCAACACAGACACAGAATGGATGGTAATTTATGGGTGAGACTAATTATCGGGGAATGCAGCCTCCTCCAACTTCTTCTCTTCTCCTTTTTTCTCCCTCGTGAGTATATTCTACTCGACGCAGCACTCTCAAGCACACGTCCAACGTAACATCCAGTTTCCAGTCGTTCCACAACGATCCCACCCTCGCCCCCTTTTATCCCCCATTGGCAAGCCTCCCCTCCTCACTCTCCCCCTCTCTCCTCCCACTTCATTCCACCACTCTCAACATCCTCCACCACCTTCAACGACCTCATGTCTCATATATTCAACGGCAACCCCAGCAATCTTGATAACGTTTGATCCAGCCGGTTGATACTCGAACCGTCAACGTTTGGATTCTTATCTTGAAAAATCATCGTATCGAGATACTCACTCTCTACTGATATAGATAAAACTGGTTATAATATAATGGATACAACGTATACCATTTTTAGATCTCAATCGGAATCGCTAGATGTGTTATTGAGAGGAATATTGTGATCGTGATATCAAAATAATCATTCCCTATGTTTTCTGTTTCATGCGATTGCTTGACGTTTAGTTTTTGAATTGATCATTTCCGGTTGGCTCGGACGCTCTTTAGAAATGCAAATTGCATGCATCAATTTCGCTATGAGCAAATGATTGTTTTTCAAAGTGTTTTATTTTTAAAACTTGTAAAAAAAAAATTGTATCTTACCTTGGAGAATGAGCTTCAGAAAATTCTCAGAGTTGATGGTGCTCACTGTTGGGGGTTGAAAATAGTGTGATGCAAGCCCAAGCATCATCTATTACTCAAACATTGACTGATTATGCACCTCCCCCAACTATTCGTATTTTTCTTAATTTAATTCCTCCATTTTTTTTCAACTCGCTCTCCTCCAAATGCCATTTATATGTTTCACTTGGACACGGGTCCGACGGTGTGAATTGTAAATTCCGCTGGAGAACCTGCTCCGTGCGAATCGCCAGGGGAAGACGAAAGTAGGATTGAATAAAATAAAAAAGTCACCGGGGGAGAGGGGGGGGGGAGGAGAGAAATGAGATAAATTAAATGAAGGAAGTTGGTGGTTTTCAAGTAGAAGAAAAA